ATTTTCACCACCACCAACTTGTATCACAGTAACCTCTCTCCTAGGGGGCGCCGACAAAAAAAATGGCAGGGGGTGGAGGGGGTGTCTTGCAGATTTTCTTGGTTAAGTGTTTCACAGTGATATGCTGAATGACAAATATATTTATATATATATATAAATCCATCCAACATAGAATGCAGTGTATAAACAAATACTTACAAATGTAACTTTTAAATATTACTAAAGGGGAGGGGTGGGTGTTCCCTCAATGTCCTTAAGTTGCAACCCCTGATGTTGCTATGGGTTTTCTGTTCAGACAGAAGCAATTGTTCACCCGTGGTGTACCCGAACCGGAGCTGTCTCTTTAAATCTCGATAAACAGTAAACAAATAGACATAAACTTGTTCCTGCAACTTGGTGCTGTCGTCATTTGTAGGTGATAGAACATGATGACTGTAGCTTTCGGTTTTGATATTGTCCTTGATGACCTTCTGTCTGTCTTATCTCTTTCTGTAGGTGCCCATCCCTACTTGTCTACATTGTTTATTTCACGTATTGTGTCTACGGCCTCAAGGGTTTCCCATTCCTTTCTCTAATTTCTCTGCTCATTTGCATATTGTGTATCACGTGCTGCATTTATGTGTGGTGCTCCTGCAGCTTGACCCGAACCTCAACCAGGGTCACGTCACTGGTCCACGGTCATGACAGGCATGGCTTCTAGCCACTCAGCCACTTGGGTTCTAATGGGATACACGGTATCTACTGGTGGGTCAGCAGTGGGTGTTGAGCTGATTACAAGTCCAGATCTCAGGACCCAGAGCAATGCTACCAACACTTGGTCGCCATCTTCCCCCGCCATTGCAATTTCCAAAATAGAGCCTTGTTTGTTTATCAACGTATACTGTTAACTGGTTGTTGTACACACGCAGACACACACAAATATGCACAATTGCACACAATCTATACACACTCACACACACACACACACACTCAAGCGTGCACGGACGCACGTACGCCCACAAAGAAAAATGTGACTCGGAAAGTTGGTGATATTTCAACATGTTGCGGTTTAAGTTGTCAGTTGGCTTCTCTTCACTACACTCCGACATGTCCCTAAGTGCTCAGATATATTATGTTTGTGTTCGTGAACAGGAAGTACCACCTGATCTTGCTGTAAGGATTGATAACAGGCTTCGTATTCCTGTCTACAAAGTGATCGTTGTCCATTTTATTGTAAAGATTATTTTGTACACATTATTAGATGGTGTTGCAGCATCTTTGTATGTCTTTGCACAGACAACAATTTCATTTTCTCATGTTACATGTAAACATGTGGCAGCTGTCGCAAAACCTATCACATTCCTTGTGTGAACTGATGACCTATCACATTCCTTGGGTAGACTGATGACCTATCACATTCCTTGGGTAAACTGATGACCTATCACATTCCTTGGGTAGAATGATGACCTATCACATTCCTTGGGTAGACTGTTGACCTATCACATTCCTTGGGTAGGTTGATGATTTAGTTGTGCCGTCAAACTGTTCAGCAATAGAAACATGAAATCTTGTCATGTCGAGCGACGCAGGAATAACATTGCCCGTGTTTTCTATGGAATGTTTGCTGACAAAACTAGACATAGCCGAACAGCAGAAAGTAATTCATGCAGTGGTTGAACAAACCAGGGAATGAATCATAACGTGGTTAAACGAACAATAATCAGGATAATGTGGTTGAGCGAGTACTAAAATAAGATATAACGTGGTTAAAAGAATAAAAGAACGATTCATTGGTTCAACGACTAGTAAACTAATTTATAACTTTGTTAAATGAACAGTCAAAAAGTTCATAACATGACTGAACGAACAATTACAATTCCTTACGTCGCTGAATAAACATTTAAACAATACCTACCGTGGGTGAACAAACATTGAAACAGTTCCTAACGTCGCTCACGCGTGTTTTCTCGACTCTGAAAACTGATAGCGTCAGCGACTACAAAAGAAGTCGGACGGAAATTAGTATCAGTGCAGTTGAGAAGTCGATCTAGTCAGCTTAAAGGTACCACAGTCACGAATGACAAAATGAACTTTGCAGATCTGTCTGTCTGTCTGTCTGTCTGTCTGTCTGTCTGTCTGTCTGTCTGTCTGTCTGTCTGTCTGTCTGTCTGTCTGTCTGTCTGTCTGTCTGTCTGTCTGTCTGTCTGTCTGTCTGTCTGTCTGTCTGTCTGACAGTCTGTCTGTCTACCTACCTATTTGTGTGTCCATTAATCTGTCTATGTACCTACCCCCTCTTTCTCTCTCCCTCCCACCTCCCCTCTCTCTCTCTCCCTCCCACCTCCCTCTCTCTCTCCCCTCCCTCTCTCTCCCTCCCTCTCTCTCCCTCTCTCTCTCTCTCTCTCTCCCTCCCACCTCCCTCCTCCCTCTCTCTCTCTCCTCTCTCTCTCCTCTCCCCTCTCCCTCTCTCTCTCTCCCTCTCTCTCTCTCTCCCACCTCCCTCTCTCCCCCCCATCTCCTTCTCTCTCTCCCTCTCTCTCTCCCCTTATACTCGCGCTGAACCAACATCTCCCCAGTATTCGTGCGCTTGTACTAATCTGACACATTACGACTGCGCGGTATCGATCCTGCAATTTACCGTGCCATTTTTTAATCTGAGACTGAAAGGTGGGAAAGCACATACAAGTACACACAGGCAGAGTGAAGAGACTGATAGAGAGAATGGAGGGATAGAGAGTGATTGGAGGGACAGAGAAAGTGGAGGGACAGAGAGAGAGTGGAGGGACAGAGAGTGAATGGAGGGACAGAGAGAGATAGTGGAGGGACAGAGAGAGTGGAGGGACAGAGAAAGTGGAGGGACAGAGAGAGTGGAGGGACAGAGAGAGAGTGGAGGGACAGAGAGAGATAGTGGAGGGACAGAGAGTGAATGGGGGACAGAGAGAGGGTGGAGGGACAGAGAGAGAGAGATTGGAGGGACAGAGAGAGTGGAGGGACAGAGAGAGAGTGGAGGGACAGAGAGAGAGTGAAGGGACAGAGAGAGAGTGGAGGGACAGAGAGAGAGAGTGGAGGGACAGAGAGAGAGACAGTTGAGGGACAGAGAGAGAACTGAGGGACAGAGAGACAGTGGAGGGACAGAGAGAGAGAGTGGAGGGACAGAGAGAGAGAGAGTGGAAGGACAGAGAGACAGTGGAGGGACAGAGAGACAGTGGAGGGACAGAGAGACAGTGGAGGGACAGAGAGACAGTGGAGGGACAGAGAGAGAGTGGAGGGACAGAGAGAGAGAGTGGAGGGACAGAGAGACAGTGGAGGGACAGAGAGAGAGTGGAGGGACAGAGAGAGAGAGTGGAGGGACAGAGAGAGAGTGGAGGGACAGAGAGAGAGTGGAGGGACAGAGAGAGACAGTGGAGGGACAGAGAGACAGTGGAGGGACAGAGAGACAGTGGAGGGACAGAGAGAGACAGTGGAGGGACAGAGAGACAGTGGAGGGACAGAGAGACAGTGGAGGGACAGAGAGACAGTGGAGGGACATAGAGAGAGAGTGGAGGGACAGAGAGAGAGAGTGGAGGGACAGAGAGACAGTGGAGGGACAGAGAGACAGTGGAGGGACGGAGAGACAGTGGAGGGACAGAGAGTGAATTGAGGGACAGAGAGAGAACTGAGGGACAAAGAAGGGTGGAGGGACAGAGAGAGAGTGGAGGGACAGAGAGAGAACTGAGGGACAGAGAGACAGTGGAGGGACAGAGAGAGACAGTGGAGGGACAGAGAGAGAGTGGAGGGACAGAGAGACAGTGGGGGGACAGAGAGACAGTGAAGGGACAGAGAGAGAGTGGAGGGACAGAGAGAGAACTGAGGGACAGAGAGACAGTGGAGGGACAGAGAGAGACAGTGGAGGGACAGAGAGAGAGTGGAGGGACAGAGAGACAGTGGGGGGACAGAGAGACAGTGAAGGGACAGAGAGAGAGTGGAGGGACAGAGAGTGAATGGAGGGACAGAGAGAGTGTGGAGGAATAGAGAGAGAGTGGAGGGACAGAGAGAGAGTGGAGGGACAGAGAGAGAAAGGAGGGACAGAGAGAGAGAGTGGAGGAATAGAGATAGAGAGAGAGGAGGAATAGAGAGAGAACAGAGGGACAGAGAGAGAGAGTGGAGGGACAGAGATAGAGTGGAGGGACATAGATAGAGTTGATGAATAGAGAGAGAGTGGAGGAATAGAGAGTGGAGGAATAGAGAGAGAATAGAGGGACATAGAGAGAATAGAGGGACAGAGAGAGAGTGGAGGAATAGAGAGAGAGTGGAAGAATAGAGAGTGGAGGAATAGAGAGAGACAGACAGAGAGAGAGTGGGCAGAGATAGTGACTGAGAGAGACACACAAAGAGAGAGAAAGAGTGGAGGAACAGAGAGAGACAGAGAGAGACAGACAGAGAGAGAGACAGAGAGGACAGAAAGAGATAAAGAGAAACAGAGAGAGAGAGAGACAGAGAGACAGACACAAACAACTGGAAAGCATACTCTGTACCATGAAGAATCGGGTCGAAATCGACCCCACGCCAGATAAACTCCGGCCTAAGGTACAGCTTCACAGAGGAAGGTCCCAACCTTTGTCCGTCTGCGTCTGCAACAACGGGATAATTCTGCAAACTGCATCAGGTAACTCGTTCAGAGAAGTCAGGGAAGTCGTTGAAGTCAGTGATGTCGTGGAGTCAGGGATGTCGTGGAGTCAGTGATGTCGTGGAGTCAGTGATGTCGTGGAGTCAGTGATGTCGTGGAGTCAGTGATGTCGTGGAGTCAGTGATGTCGTGGAGTCAGTGATGTCGTGATGTCGTGGAGTCAGTCAGTGATGTCGTGGAGTCAGTGATGTCGTGGAGTCAGTGATGTCGTGGAGTCAGTGATGTCGTGGAGTCAGTGATGTCGTGGAGTCAGTGATGTCGTGGAGTCAGTGATGTCGTGGAGTCAGTGATGTCGTGGAGTCAGTGATGTCGTGGAGTCAGTGATGTCAGTAAAGTCGGTGAAGTCAATGAACTCAGTGATGTCAGTAAAGTCAGTGAAGCTAGTGAAGTCAGAGAAGTCAGTGAAATTAGTGAAATCATTGAAGTCAATGAAGTCAGTAAAGTCGGGAATATCGATGAAATCAGTAGAGTCAGTAAAGTCAGTCAAATCAATAATGTCCGTGAAGTCAGCAAAGTCGATGAAATCAGTAGAGTCAATGAAATCAGTGAATTTGATGAAGTTAGTGAAATCAGTGAAGTCAGTAATGTCAATGAAGTCAGTAAAGTCAGTGAAGTCAATGAAATCAGTGAAGTCAGTAAAGTCAATGAAGTTAGTAAAGTCAATGAAGTCAGTAAAGTCAATGAAGTCAGTAAAGTCAATGAAGTCAGTAAAGTCAATGAAGTCAGTAAAGTCAGTAACGTCACTGAAGTCAGTAAAGTCGGTGAAGTCAGTAAAGTCAGTAAAGTCGGTAAAGTCGGTGAAGTCAGTGAAGTCAGTAAAGTCGGTGAAGTCAGTAAAGTCAGTAAAGTCAGTAAAGTCGGTGAAGTCAGTAAAGTCAGTAAAGTCAGTAAAGTCGGTGAAGTCAGTAAAGTCAGTAAAGTCGGTGAAGTCAGTAAAGTCAGTAACGTCACTGAAGTCAGTAAAGTCAGTGAAGTCAGTAAAGTCAGTAAAGTCAGTGAAGTCAGTAAAGTCAGTGAAGTCAGTAGAGTCGGTGAAGTTAGTAAAGTTAGTGAAGTCAGTTAAGTCAATGAAGTCAGTAAATTCGATGAAGTCAGTCATGTCGGTAAAGTCAGTAAATTCAGTGAAGTCAGTGAATTCTGTGAAGTCAGTCAAGTCAGTAAAGTCAGTGAAGTCAGTAAATTCGGTGAAGTTAGTAAAGTCAGTGAAGTCAGTAAAGTCAGTGAAGTCGGTTAAGGACTATTATCTCGCCAATGAAACATCTAATTAAAGTGTTAGATTCATGATTTTATTAACAGAACGGCAGCAACATGGCTGCCATCTTTACTTCCCGCCAGCACTTTAGCTTGCACAGTCTAAATTCTGGGTCGACTTTGGAGATAAACTCATTCAGAAAGCAGTTCACCAGGAGGGGGTTTCTAATTCTTTATCTTTCATCCGAATGGCGTAATTTCCTTGTGCCTGTTTGCAGCATAGCTGCGATATTTGCGATACATCCAACCTTCAATCGGCATTTGATCGTCGTGTTAGTCTTGATTGGAACTGAGATTGGATGTGCAGATTTTGGCTGGGTTCTCCTGTTGAAGTGTGCGTGCGGATACGGCCGTCTGATCTTGGTCAAAAGGCCGAGCCACCAGCAGTCCAACGGGGTAAGGAACTCTGCTGACGGCTCCAAAATGTTTCCTTGAACTCCTGGTGAATACACACGGCAACCAGGTCAGTTGACATAAGCTCTTCATGTGCTGTCATTAGGCACCTTTCAATGTATTGATCGAAAGTTGTCTGGATGTGATCAAACACTAAACTTTTACAATATTGCAAGTTTACAGGTAAGAAGAACAAGAGAGAGGGGGAGAGAGAGAGAGAGAGAGAGAGAGAGAGAGAGAGAGAGAGAGAGAGAGAGAGAGAGAGAGAGAGAGAGAGAGAGAGAGAGAGAGAGAGAGAGAGAGAGAGAGATTAGTTTGAAAGTAATAAAAACACTTATGAAAACCGCTGTCAAGGGAAACAACCTCAACATTTAGCATCACAGGAAGCTACTTGGCGCAGACTGACTGACTTCTAAATCTAATCTCCTAAATCCTAGAATATCCAGTTTGCACGAATCAGAGAAACCACGATAGCACTGGCTAGCACTCTAGTTTGCCTACCAGACGTGTAGGTTCGAATCGCTGTTCAACGGGTTTTTGAAACCTGTGTGTGCTTCCAGGTCCGGTCAGCCTGGATGTCCAAGGGAAAGGGCGACCATCAGTGCTCGTGGTTACACACCTCAGGACTACAGCTGACCACAGGTCGGTTCAGCACCTACGGATACTCTCACAGACTACAGCTGACCACTGATCGGTTCAGCACTTACTGCTCCTCTCGTGGACTTCAGCTGACCACTGATCGGTTCAGCACTTACTGCTCCTCTCATGGACTTCAGCTGACCACTGATCGGTTCAGCACTTACTGCTCCTCTCGTGGACTACATCTGACCACAGGTCGGTTCAACACTTACTGCGGCTCTCGTGGACTTCAGCTGGCCACGGGTCAGTTCAGCACTTATGGCTGCCCTCATGGACTATAGCTGACCATAGATCGGTTCAGCACTTACGGCTGCCCTCGAGGACTACAGCTGACCACAGGTCGGCTCAGCAATTACGGCTGCCCTCCTGGACTACAGCTGACCACAGGTCGGCTCAGCAATTAGGGCTGCCCTCCTGGACTACAGCTGACCACAGGTCGGCTCAGCAATTAGGGCTGCCCACCTGGACTACAGCTGACCACAGGTCGGCTCAGCAATTAGGGCTGCCCTCCTGGACTACAGCTGCTCAGCAATTAGGGCTGCCTCCTGGACTACAGCTGACCACAGGTCGGCTCACAGGGCTGCCCACCTGGACTGACCACAGGTCGGCTCAGCAATTACGGCTGCCCTCCTGGGCTACAGCTGACCACAGGTCGGCTCAGCAATTAGGGCTGCCCTCCTGGACTACAGCTGACCACAGGTCGGCTCAGCAATTACGGCTGCCCTCCTGGGCTACAGCTGACAACAAACAGGTCGCTTCAACACCTAAGGCTGCTCTTTTGCCAAGATGAAAAAAGACATTTCAATGGCGCGTTTTCAGGCATCTACGCATAGAAACTATCACTCACCCAGGTGTGAAAGAAACAAACTGTCGATTATTTGGTTGAACCCTAAGGTATTCTTGTACACAATTTCAACCCTAACGTATTCTTGTACACAATTTCACCCCTAAGGTATTCTTGTACACACGTTGAACCCTGAGGTACTCTTGTACACACGTTGAGCACTGAGGTATTGTTGTACACACGTTGAACCCTAAGATATTCTTGTACATACGTTGAACCCTAAGGTATTTTTGTACACACGTTGAACCCTAAGGTATTCTTGTACACACGTTGAACCCTAAGGTATTCTTGTACACACGTTGAACCCTAAGGTATTCTTGTACACACGTTGAACCCTAAGGTATTCTTGAACACACTTTGAACCCTAAGGTATTTTTGTACACAAGTTGAACTCTAAGGTATTCTTGTACACACGTTGAACCCTAAGGTATTCTTGTACACACGTTGAACCCTAAGGTATTTTTGTATACAAGTTGAACTCTAAGGTTTTCTTGTACACAAGTTAAACCTTATGGTAATCTTGTAGTCACATTGAACCCTAAGGTGTTCTTGTACACAAGTTGAACCTAACCTATTGAACACAAGTTGAACAATTTAACCCATTAAATGAACAAGGGAAGCTAAGTGGGGCCAGCAGCAGAGAGAACGCTGATGGAGTGTACAGTTTCCGGAACACGAGGCAGAGGCCAACTCTGCTGAGGTCCATTCAAAATATTCCAGATGTGCTGGTCATCAAAGCACATAGGACTGGAGAATTGCTAGAGAAACAGATTGGGGAGTTCTGTGACGAGAGCGACGTTCTGTGATGCCTGATGATAATAAACTGATACTTCCAGATGATAACTGCTATACACGATCAGGGGCGGCTTAGTCCATTTAAATGATTTAAGGAATTAAGGCCACCTCTCTCTAGTAGTTTGCTTCAGTGTCTTTCCTGGCTTGTCTTTACTGAACTGTTGCTGCAGTTCTAGCAGCTGCATGAGCAACAGAGAGGAGCGCCAGGACTAGCAGTTCTCGTTATGCCTAGTGGCACATGAGGCTTCAGAGAGGACTTTCCATGCTTTCCTGTCCTGTGCAATCTTCAGTGCAGTTTTCCATGTCAAAGATGCCGCACTCAGGTCACTTTCCATCGTTCGTCTCCATGTTGTTTTTGGGCGCCCCTGTTTTCTCTTTCCCTCTGGTGTCCATGTGAGAGCTGTTTTGGCAGGTTTATCAAAAGTCATTCTCATTTCGTGGCCAAGCCATTTCCATCTTCTCTTGATAATCATACTGTCTAAAGTTTCTTGGTTTGTGGCTTGAAGTAGTTTAGTGTTTGAGATTGTATCTGGCCAGAACATTCTGATAATTGTACGTAGACATGTGTGGTGGAAGGTGGACAGCTTGTGTGCATCCTTTTTGTTCATTCTCCAGCATTCCGCTCCATAAAGAAGAACTGGCAAAATGATGCTCTTGTAGAGTCGGAGTTTCGTTCCTCTGCAGTAATTGTTGGATTTCCAGATTTGCCTCATCCTTCCAAAAGCAGCTCTAGCTTTGTTCAGACGTGACTGTATGTCTTCCTCTGTCCCTTCCAGTAGGGGGCACCACACTGCCAAGATACGTGAAATGTTCTACATTTTCAATTGATTGGTTACTTATGGTCACTAGTTGTTGGTTTTGGGCTGTTTGTCATGATCTTAGTTTTCTTTGTATTTATTCTCAGTCCCACCATTTCTGCTGTGCAGTTTAGTCTGTTACTTTTCTCTTGTATATGTTCATGTTTATGTGATAGGAGTGCTATATCCTCTGCAAAATCTAGGTCCTCAAGCATGGTGAATGGAGTCCATCGTATGCCTCTTAATGTCCTGTCTACTGTGTTCTTAAGTATCCAATCAATCAAAGGTTGAAGAGGAGAGATGACTTTTCACATCCCTGTCTTACTCCCGTCTTTACTGGGAAAGATGTACTGTAATTTTTTTATACTGCAGGAAAAGTCTTTATAGAAGAAAGCAATTATGTTGACTATTTTTTTTTTTTTTTTTTTTTGGAATTCCATAATGTAAAATTTTCCACAGACCGTCTCTATGGACGCTGTCAAAAGCTTTCTCAAAGTCCACAAAATTAATATATATAAATCTCTGCCATTCGTTGCATTGTTCTAAAATGTTACGTATGGCGAAGATGTGTTCAGTTGTTTCTCTGCCCTTTCTGAATCCTGCTTGTTCCACTCGTAGGCATTTACTCCTTTTTCAAGCCGCATTATGATGTTTTTACAAAATATTTTGCTTGGTACTGAGAGTAGAGTAATTCCCCTCCAATTATTGCAGTCTTTTAAGTCTCCTTTTTGGGGGATTTTGACTATTGTTCCTTCAGTCCAGTCATCAGGCAACACTTCTTTTTTTCCAAATATCCTTGAACAATAGTTCTAGAATGCTAGCAGTTGTGTTGGGATCTACTTTGAGAAGTTCTGTTGACAGGTCGTCTTTGCCTGGTGCTTTGTTGTTCTTTAAAGTGTGGATAGCTTTAAGGATTTCTTGTTTGCTTGGTGGTTCAGTAATAAAGTCAATGTCCTGAGAGGCTGGTTGAATATCTGAGGTATTTTCAGGATCAGGTCTGTTCAAGAGGTTGGAGAAGTGTTTAGTCCACTGCATGTCTTGTTTTTGTTCTGTGATGAGCAGTCTGCCTTGGTTATCTCTGATGGGTATGCTGTGATAGTTGTTTCTGTTTCCGCAAATTTGCTGGGTAATTTTATGTAGGGTTTGTAGATCATGTGCTTTAGCAGCATTTTCTGCTGTTTCTGCAAGATTTTCCATAAATCTTCTCTTGTCAGCTCTGGCACTTTTCTTGGTCATTTTATTTAGTTCGCTATATTCTAGCATTAGTTTGTCTTTCTGACGTTCTGATTTAGTGTAATTTATGAGGCTCTTTATTCTTTTTCGCTTGGCAATATAGTCCATGGTTTGACTACTTATCCATTCTTTGTGGTGTTGTTTCCTGGTTCCTAATATGTTATTGCTAGTTGAGCAGAAGTCTTTCAGTGAGGTGTATTACCCTCAGCGATTGGGGTAATAACAGTGTTATCTCAATAAACGCGTGACAAGTTGCTTGGTACAGATACAATTACAGCGTTCTATAAAATAGCTCTGTCTTCTGCTTACCTGTACT